ATGGGATGTCTTGGCGGCTTGCAACTCTCGCTACAGCGTGCAAAATACAACATAGCAGCTGGCGTGAGATGGTTTGCTGAGGTCAAGCAACTTCATGGCTTTGGTGAGATGGTGTAGCTTTTCATTTGTTGACATTTGAGATGGATCTGCAGCCACGTCTTCCTCCTCATCTTCGAGAGATCCATCAGTGGTCATTTTCATCAATTCCTCGTCAATGAGTTCTTCAAGAGAACTCTTGTTCTCGCCTGCAGGATTGATGAAGTTTGTAACATCAAATAGTGTAACAACGCCTATGGCTTGTATACCTTCGCCAATTTCCTGCTCAATTGCGCCTGCCTCCAAATCGGTGACAGCAACATTGATCGCAGTTGCGGCTTCATGGGGTGCATTTAAAATGTGGATTATTTGAGATATCATTGATAAAGATGATACCTTGGTATGGCAAAAGCAATTGTGAATTGTATTAGCAGTGATCTCATTCCAGGATGCTTTTGCACATTGCATAGCCGTCAGTAGGTCAACTTTATATAGATTTGTGCCACCCGCCTCTTCAATTTCAACTGCACGTTGGATGTAAAGTCTTCGATAGCGCCGTTTGAATGCTGCAATAATCCCAGCGTCCATAGGTTGCAGCTTGGAAGTGGTGTTTGGCGGCAGAAACAAGACCTCAATGTTATCAAGTTCCACGGATATGTGGCCAAAATAAATTGTCCAAAAGCACCAAAATGGACCTACCACAGTTCTTCATCTCCGCATCCAAGTTTTTCAACCATTCTTAGAAAAGCTACCCGATCATCCAAGCCTTCTGGTTGTGTCAATACAAGAAGTCCAATTGCGTAGCGGTTTTTTTCTTGAAGGGTTTCGGATGTTTTGCATGGCCGATGAAGAAAGGTTCAAGCTTGTGCGAACCATCAGCATTGGCCGTAAATGCGATGATAAACCGCTTTTTGCTTTTCTTGAGGCCTCCCAGCTGGAATTGTGTGATAGTCTGATGAGGATAAAATTTGTAGAAGAGTCTGATTTTGTCCATGTTGTAAATGTCAGCAGGGACATACGATGCTATCTTTCGTTGACTTTCCTCCAAGCTCGCAGTCACAACCCCCATGTCGACGGAACCGCTCTCACGCATCATCTTAACAGAATGAAACCAATTGCGTGAAAGAAACTTTTGTAATCAGCCGTTGGAGAATTCAGTGTCTTTGACGTTCAATAGATTTGCAAGCCGCTTTGCCTTCTCAATGATGATGACATACGTGAGTGCCACCTTCTTGTGTTGGCATTGTAGTACCCAATTTATCAACGCTTCATCTAGTTGTGGATACTTCACTTTTCTTAACCACTTGTTTTGCAGCTTAGCGACATTCATACTCTCCAGGTTACTCTTCATGCCAAGAGTATTAGAGATGATGGATAGTGCCGGCAACTTTGGAAGATTGAAAGTGGTTTTTGCACATTCTCTCAACTTCACTTGTTGCACACTAGGGTTTCCCAGGCTGTACCGGCATAGCTGAAACTTATGCTTGTTGTTCATGATGCGGATGTATCGCTGGAGAGCTGCGGTGCCCGAGAGTGTCGCTGGATGGCATGAAACAAAGGCGACATAATAAGGCAAAGCGGAGTTTCATTTCCCATTGTACTTCCTCAACTTGATAACCTCTTTAATTTGATCAAAAGTATGGGAACAGACCTTATCAGATAAGACATGTATCATTGTAATTGGTTGCTTTCCTGTCAACATAGAAAAGAATGAGTTGAGTATTATTTTAGCTACTACATAAAGGACCTTATTCTGAAAGTTTCAATTGTTGATAGGGACTTGAGTATTCAAAAAACCTCATAAATGTCAGCCGTTTGGGCATTCATTCGTTAACATTAGAAAAGTCTATGAATATTAGACACCTATAAATGCTAGAATTGTGACGAATCTCGTATCAAAACTACTTTCAAACAAAAAAATGTTTTCTAGGTTTTGCAATGTATGTTAGAGCACTTTTTTATGCATGACAAAAGTAGTAACACGTAGTACACATGGGACACATGAGACTCCACAGTAACACACATTGATTACTTATCCATCAAGTTTTGTTTTATCCAATGGAATCGGCACACCGTAGCCAAATTCTAAAACATGTATCATTATACATATGACGGTGAGTGTTTATAGACTATGAAAGTTTGTACCTGATCTTTTAAAAAAACTAGAATCTCCAATTAGATTATCCAAAAATTACTCGTAGATTAAATGTCAAATAAACTCTACTTCCGATTGATGCATTCCTGCTCCTGACTTCATACCATTGCACAGATTTGCACAAATTCAAAGAGCATTGTAATCAGCTCAACTACCGAATTGGGGTAGGAAGGTATAACTTCTTTCTGCAAAATCGTCTCAAGCTTGCCAAAAGTTGAGGCGGATGAAAAAGATATTACATTTGATGATTGATGTGTAAGACTTGGTTGATTGATTTGGTCTATTGAATTCAACAATTGATTGACTCTATTCTCGGATAGAATTCACTGATGTTTTACAAATCTTACAAGTCTTACACATCTTACAATTAAATCAATCAATTCTATCCGGATAAGGTTTGGAATTCTATCCGGGGCTAGAGGCAGCGAAGGTGTAGACGGGGAAGCGAGAGTTTTTAAGGAAGTACGCGGGCAACGTTATGGAAGCAAATTGCTGATGCACATACTAAGGATATATATTATTTAGGGCCATGCAAGGGAAGTAGGAATTGCCTTCACCGTCTTCGGTTGATACTAGAACATAAGTGATGTGTACCGTCGGTGGACCCCATTGAGTAAAATGAAACTTGATGGATACCAATAAGAAATTGGTGTTACGATGGGGTCCCATCGAGTCATTTCCTCTTGGCAACGAGATGCAGACTCATAAGTACTTGAAAAGCTTACTTTTCACTTAGTTTTCACATCTGCTAAGAACAAGGAGCAAATCTTAATACTATTGTATTGTAACATATGCTTCAATATCAATTAAATGAAAATTGTTTTCTGGCTAGTTGTTCAGTATCAAATTTTTATTATGTAGCTTTGCCTAGTCAAATATTTGAATGTATATGTAAGACTTGGAAAGGGTATTTTCTTATATATGTATTGTGATGATATACTAAAGATAATTTACACAAAACATGCCTTATGAATACTATTCATGTGCACTTCAATCAACTCCATGATACAAACTTATGAAAAAATCATTTTAACAAGCTCTGACTTTCTTATTTTTTCTCGCTATGCTTTACATAACTAAAATTTTCTAAAATCTTGCTCCAAAAACGATATAAGAAAGTGAAATTTGGATTGATCATTTATTATCAGACTATTTACACACATACCTAAATATTGACTCAACTTGGTTCGCCAACATGCATTTACATTACAATTTTTTTGATATTGTCATAGATTACATGGAGTCTATATGATTGTTTACATATTGAAGAACATATAACATCTATGCATGAAGCTTTAAAGGATGTAGTATTTTTCCGTCACAAGGTGGAATTTTCCCATAAATAAAATTCTACTTAGCCTTGTAGTTCACTTCTATTGGATCCAAACTAAGACTCATTCGGAGGAACATGGCTATTGATGTGGATATTGGAAATACATATTATACATTATATTTTTCCAAAAGAGTTGAATTTCTATATTCTAGATTGGACAGAAAGTGATATGACAAATACTAAAGCTTACCGGTATAGAGCTATACAAAAAGATCAACTTTTTAGCTTGTTCAATCTTAGATTTTTAAAATTTATGCATGTTAACTTCAATATAATTGTGGATACGTGCTCAAGGTTTTTATATATACTAAAAATATATTTAAAAAATTATTTTCAAAATTTTTATCTTATTTTATCTGACTTAATAGTGTGAAAATGATACCATAAAATCTCTGTTTGGTGCAATTTATAGAAAAATATCATCTAAACTAATTATTTCTTATGTAAAATATATTTTTTATTTTATTTATAATTTACACATGTAACTCGAAAACTTTTCTAAGTCTATATTTATATAACTCCATTCAGCATTTAGCATCCATGTTACTTAAAGTAACCTCTACAAATTGTAAACAAAATATATATGTTTCTTGTGATATGTAAAATATAGAAACATATTTAAAACAAGGAAGGGGTTTACACACTATAGATCCAGATATAGAGCAAAAGATGGTGAGATAAAAGCGAGTTTTTCAGTGTTGTGGGATTTTAACCAGATGTAAGGAGTTTGAATGTTTTAATCAGAAATATGCGCAGCTCACAAAAGTTTTAAGATGTTCATTCAAGCCCAATGCATGAGTCATGTTAGAGTGAAGCCAACAACCTGCGAAAACAAAAATATTCAGTTTTCTACTTAGCTTTTAGTTTCTAGGTTGGCATTTCCGTTGCATTCTTTGTACATTTATAGATGAGGTTGAATCGCACATTTCTTTCCATGAGTCTCCGTATTAGATATTTTCATAAAACATATGTTCACACATTTTGTCATTTAATCCATGTGGCGAAACTCATATCCTCTCTTACAAATAGTTGCATGATTGAGCTAAAACTTGATAATTTTGAATCTCACAATATGGACGTTTATTTTATGACTTTCACAGCTTTATGAATGAACTTCCTTGGTTTAAATGTAGAGATTCTTATACATTACTGTAAATAAATAATCATAAATCAGAAACAATAAATTTTCACAGATGACTATATGAAAAATAGATAAACCCTGATTTTTCATGCTAACGAAGTCTTCAACTTGAAAGATGATGACCTTCAACTTGAGTCTTTTCAAACAGAAAACCAACCGACATACCGTGTGACAATTCACACGGTATTTCTCACTTGTCGAAACATCCAGCGAAAGCAAACACGACATCTTCGAACACGGATTCAAGCACGAGGAAAGCAGAAAGCTAGCGTTCATGAGGACACATGCCTTTAAGAGGCCAGAGATTGCTCCTGGAACTCGGATCCACGGCATATCGACATTCGAATCTAGCTGGTTTGTTGGAAATGTAAGTACTAGCCCTGATCAGCAAATGCGAGCTGGATCAGAACATTCAGACGGGACTTCACGTCCAACCACCCGAAGCTTATATAACGACAGTCTTTAGACCGCAGCCTGAGATGGCGTCGGGACTGTTGACGCCTGCGCGATCTTGACCATTGACTAACGCTCTTGACCTGTTGGTGGAGACAGCGATGCCCCGTCATCCTTGACCTCACAGCTGTCCAGCGACTCCGAGGAGTGAGCAATATAAAAGAGCTGCATCCTGCCCTCGACTAGACAAGACAGAGCTCATCGAGATAATCATCGAGGCTCCCCGTACTGCAGTGTGGCAGAATTCAGCAACCGCAGTTGGCCGTTACGTCCGATCCCAGGTCCACGTGAAACTGCGGAGCAACGCGAGATTCGATTCATCCGATCGCGTTGGGCTGATTAGCACTTCCTTCCTTCACGATGTTCAGAATGGCAGGGATGTCTGTGCAGCTGCGGGCTTGCACGTGTTTGTTGATGGTGGCCATCTCCATCTCAGAAAGTGGCGCCGCGGTGGATGCCAAGAAGGTTAAGAAGCTCGAGTTCTACCTGCATGAGCAATTTATCAGTGAACCGGGATACCCGGCCACCGACGTTTTGGCAGCATCGGCCACGGGAAATACATCTACATACGCTTTTGGAAATCTCGGAATCTCAGAGCAAGTGATCAGAGATGGTGTCAGCAACGTTTCCACCATTATAGGCCGCGCTCCCGGAACCTTTCAGCCCAACAAGCAGGAGAGAACTTTTGCTCTGTACAAATTATTGACTCTGCAGACGAAGGAATGGAACGGCACTCTCGTCGTCTTCAGTGACTGGATTTCCGATGCACCATCGAATGAATGGACTGTCGTCGGAGGAACAGGAACGTTCAGAATGATGAGGGGATATGCGATCAATACTAAAGCAGATGGAAGCGCACAGACTGCATTTATCACATTCAAGTGGGAAGTTTTCCTCACCCCTTATTAGATGAAGGCGATTGCCTAAAAGACCCGGCAGCTGATGTTACTGCATATATTCATCGACTGGGTGGAGGTGTACACGATGTACAAGGTTCCGAACTCTCTTGCAGCTCGTTGCAGCAGATCACTATCGAGTCAATTGAATTTAGCCTACACAATGTGTACACCACGCAGTACATGCGTTTCTGATCACTACGTTTCAGAGAAGCTCAGCATGTAAGATTAAGATTGTACATGTTTTCTCCCAGAGCGAGGATATCAATGTTAAACTGATTACTCCTCTATCAATGCATAGCTGACATTCAGCATTCCAGGCTTTCATGTAAAGATTTTACAAATCCTACCTCGACATCGATATTTCATTCTCACTTTCTGAAAGATATTTAGTCTAAGAGTTCAGTTTATTTCTGCGTATCACTTGAACTGGGTTGCAACTCAGAGTACAGTGTGTCCAAAATTGAGGCTACAAAATCACGGGCCATTCAACAACGTGAAAAAACTACTGTTGCTTTCTCTATCTGAGAAACATTTGTGGTGATTGGTCTGAACCTTCCTTTGCTCAATAAATCGGGATTCACTTTTACCTTGTGACTGCTAGTCCCGGAGCACAATATCATATTCGAGGAAGCTTTGTTTGCTGAGGCCACTAATCTTTTATTTCTTTGCTACTTTTGACAAGAGAAGAAGTCAAAGCTTTACTTCCAAGCAAAGGTCTTATAAAAGAGAAAGAGAACGCTTTATGCAAAAGTTTTGAAAGTTGGTTGGATTTGGCTACCGTGACCTGAACATAGTATGTTTTAGCATTTATAATCTACAATTGCTTGCTAGACCATAGGTTAAGCGACTTCATGAAGGTTTGGACTGCCCTTGACGTTGTTAATATCACTTGTCCATTTGAAAAAAATTTCAAAGTTTACGTTAGGATGTAATCCATGTACGATTTGCCTTTATTCGTACATTCAACACGAAAAGTATGCTTTGTAAGGTTGCCACGTGATTTCGAACTTTTTGAACTCTTCACAATATGAAAGTAGGTGAAAGTGTTTTGTTTGTTTCATTGCACAAACATACCCATCAACTATAGTATTATTTGAAATCATGACTTGACTGTTCTATATTCAGTTTAGTGAAACTAAACTTATCTCATACTCAAGGATATGTTTGATACTTAGCGTTATATCCAAGTACAACTCTGTATGATGACGTTATCTCATGAAATTTGCAAAAATTGTTGTTACATGCAAGATTCTACCCATTTCCAAAATTTATCACAAATTCAACAACTTTTTGAAATATAACCAGTTTTTAGAATTATTATCAAGAGATTATAATCGCTTAGAGGTTTTTAATTCGACTGGTCATACACTTTTGTCGTCAAAATCATATATTAGTAATTGAAAGCCGTATTGTACCTACATCGAAAATATGATGCCTAAATGAAGGAATGAAAGAACTCATAATAGCAACATGAGAAAAAGCCTTTAAAAGCGTTATTCTGTCCCTAAATGTTCTCTATATGAATAAAAAAAAATTAGATGCATTGAATAGTTTAGAAGAAAAAAATCTAAAGTCTTTGAGCATTGAAAGCATATAAGGCCAGAGTGATCACTCTTTCACTCTATTCGTTGTCTTGTTTGAAAACAGCAAAATCTGAGTATAGACATCTGTTTAGCAAATCTGAGTAGCTATCGTATTTGACATATCATGTTTTGATAATTTTGCTTCCATGTATTCATCTTCTAAGAAAGAGAATGTGAAAGAAGATAGTATATATGTACATTTATCTACTTTTATCCACTAAATTCAGAACAGTGTTTAAACACACATATATATATATATATATATATATATATATATATAAAATCAGGAAATCTAACTAGTTTAAGTTTGCATCGGCTGTGAGCTGATTATCACTAGCATATTGTACTTTCTCTATTATCGAAAAAATGCACTAATAATGTCTATATAATTCATGGTGCAACTCTGGATGTTAAACTTTCCCCTGTTGTCTCTGGAGGAGTTTGGTTGGTCATTACTAAGTCAGAGCGACTAGACGATTCAAATCTGGAAATTAGTTCCTATTTCTCAGAATTAAGTCGTATGTGCTGAAGGTTGGAGTGATGTTCTGGATATGTTGTGTGTTTCAGCTGAATCTGTGCTTTTATAAATTTCCCCAAACTCTATAAATGAAGATTGGAAACATCATAGCAGCAACAAGAGAGAGGTAAAGATAATATATAAATATTCTTAGGGCACATAATAAAACCACCTGGTAGTCATATTCTAACTACAATGATAAGGAACAGACTGCATACTATACACTAAAGCAACAGTATGTACTCATCCCATGATGAAGAATGCAAAAATCAAAAATTTAAAGGGCACTTGACTTCCCATCCTTTTTGATATACTACTTAGCCCCACTTCCCATCTCGATTTGGAATTCCTGTAACATCGAACCTAGATAGTCCTTAAGTCCCCCACCTCGAAAAGTCTATGACCTCGGAAAGAAACAGAGTGAACTTAGGACACAGAGCAATGTAAGTTGTCTTATCTTTTCTCATTCTCTGCCATCAAAGTGCAGACATACTACCTGGCACATGGAAGTAGTGTTAATGAAATTGAGATAGTCGACACTACAGTCGAAAAGTATGCTAAATATCATAATAACTGCAAACCATATTCAAGATACACTGCATATGTGTGTGAGCTCTGTGACTGTAACAGCTGATCTGGAGAGGTTTCGTGGAGCGCAACCATAGAACAAAATCGAAGGGAAAGTGAGTGTCACAATGTGCTGACGCCCACGTGGCTTCATATCATGCTCCAGATCACTTTGAACGTACAGTAAACATTCTGAAATGTCATGACCGATGCAATCTTGGATATTTTCAGATTCTATAGTGCTAAGAACTTTTGGATTTGAAGGTAGACTCTTGGTTTACGTTGAAGTGATCTCATGCACGAGAAGTTGAGAAGTCCGGTATCCTACTGGAGCAATGACATGGACAGACATCCACACGCTGTTATATAGAGGACGTCACAAACTGCATGGTACAGTTTTCTTGACCTGCAAGATATTGCAACTGTGGGTCTCTAAGTGTTGCAAAAACTGTCCAAATATTGACTATCAGTACACAAGATTTCAGTTGCAGGATATTCACCCTCTCCTTGTCTTTGATGAGGTACGATAGAATACAGAGTGTCAAGTCCCAGGTTCCTGAAGAAAAACAGAGTTCATCCTGCTGTAAATCTCAGGGATAATACTTGGCCGTTTTCAGCTCTTTCGAGTTCTCATCAGAACATCACCATTACAGTAAACGTCCCCCGCAACCGTGATGAGGATAACAAAGATTTCTGCATGCCTTCAGGCTTGTATGTGTTGATTTATTGTAGCCAATTCCATTCTAATACAGTGGAGTGCTTGAATGCAGAGAAGCCTGAGAACTTCGAACTCTGCTGACATGATCAATTTGAGAAACTTCCAAGAGTCGCAAAAACTAACCTTTTGGCCCTCACTGGCTGTAAATCTTGGTTCACAACAACAAGTCATGAGATATTGAAACAGCAAAAGTCAAACATAATATGGACTGAGCTCCAGAGCATTACAGCCGAACAGAGAGTATAGAACGTTTGCACTGTACACAATGCTGACATTAAAGATTCACGAATGGATTGGAACGCTCGTCATCTTCATAGATTGGATTTAGATGCACTCATATAAGTGGACGGTTGTTGGAGTGACAAGACACTTGGGGGTGTTCAATAGCTGCGCAAAAGATGGGAGTACGACAGGATTGAAAATAACTATCACGAACAATCGGTAAGTTTTCTTTACTAGTTTTATATATCCAACATGGACATGGTTTCTTCCCAACCTCGGTAACCTATGTTTCTGACTGTTAGGGCTTGTTACGTAGATTTGGAGAGTTCTCATCTCTCCGGTTCATCGTTTGAATCTAAAGTAGTTGTATATCGTATGTTTAGTAGTCGTGCAGAGGTGTTTCTGATTTCAGACAACCTGAAGTGGACAAAACATATGTTGTTGGATTGGTATACCTTGAGTGCGAAGATGACAGTCTCATCTTCAATCACTACTTATACCTGTCAAGCGAAGTTCAACTTCTTATTTGAAAGATAATCAGAAATATCAGCCAACATCTGAGCATGTACTGCAGCTGTGATTGCTTAGAAATCGTGTTTAGCGTTATGTCTAGATAAATCACGCAGGATTAGAGTGACAGTTTCTTTGATGTGTTAGAGCAGATTCTAGTATGGACGCGTTGGATTTACATTCAGTCGAAACCTCGCACTGAACGAGTCACGTCACACACCATGGGCTGCCACGAGATGTGCTCAGGTAGAGGTAGGTTTATATGAATATAGACATAGTCTAAATCTATATCATATAGAAATTAATATCTTAGGAACACTCACTTTGTATATAATTTGTGGAAAATTTGTCAATTTGCAAGCCAATTTTTGATGGAACGCGAATCAAACATCCTACAAATGATTTAATCTTTTGATTTCTCTACCTGGTTACAAGTGACATGTTTTCCTTATTTATCTTTCATCACTGACTAAATGTTTCCATAATTTTTCTTTAATTGCATGTAAAAGTCTGCACTTAGTGTTTATACTATGAAACGTCTTTTTCATGAAAAATAAAAAGGATTTTTTCAGTTTACAACGTCTATAATTAGATTCTATATATTAAGTTTAGAATGTAATGTGTATCTTAATTAAGCTTGATCAGATTTAATAATATTTTTTGAAATCTTATATATTGCTTATAGTATACACATTCATAGAGAACTATAAATATCATTCAAAATAAGTATTTAACAAATTTTTCATTTCTTCAAAATATTTATCATTCTACATTTTATAGAATCTATTTCATAATATTTAACCTAATTTGAATAAATTTATTTAGTCTTAAAAATTGTACTTTACAATCTTACTAATATTATATATGATATGATATTGGACATGTTTAAAAGAAATTATAAAAACTCAGAGAGGTCCATTTAGTGGAAAAGGTCGTACAGTATGTGAAATATTAATAATTCATTTCATGCTCAATTAGCTGCAAAAAACTAGGATTAAAAATAAAACAGAATGAACTGGATTTTATTATCATGAATTAAAAAAATGATACCTTTTTCAGTGAGAATTTATTACAATAATTAATTTGGGTGGAATGACAATTAAACATACTACTCTTTACGGAATAATCACCCCATTAAAATTTTATGGATTACGAAAGTGTAGATTTTTGACTTCGTTTCCAATTTTTATGATGTTGTAGCATATCTAAAATCGAATATATCAAACTTTAGAAATGAACTAATGAGATTTTTCTGGGTAGGGTTTATTATAAGATAATATACTGAACGTAGGGGTCGAGTTGTTTGTCGGCAAATGCATAGCCAAAAAAGTCTCGATGCCCACGCCAGGTGGGCGAGCATACAGCGTTCGCTAAAGCTAAAGCGAACGCTGTATTGACTTGGCGAGCACATGGAACTTTGAAGACATCGGAGCGAGCAGAGAACCGACTCCTTTCTAGAACTGCGCACAAGGTCTTGTTCTAGACTGAGGGATCCGCTGACCATACAAAGACCGCCTTGACTTGTTTACGGTCAGAAGCTGTGGGAACAAGAGTCCGGTCTTCAGACAGCTATAAAGAGCTTCACAGCGTCTGTAATCTCACACCTCTCCGGCAACTATCAACTCTCCACATTCTCAGTGCACTACGGGCCCTGTCCTAAGGAGCCGAATCGAACTTCAGAGTCAGGAGTCCATATTCTACCTGGAGACGCTAGTGGATTCTCCATAAGTTCTCAGAGAGCACGACAATCTCGATCAGATCCGACATTTGAAGCTCTGATCTTCCACCACGAGGGTGAACATGAAGGTCCAGGCCTTCACCTGTTTGTTGATGGTGGTCATCGCCACGGCTTTGAATGGAGCCGTCGTGGATGCAAAGAAGCCTAAAGTGATTGAATTTTACTTGCATGAGCAATTTGTCAGTGAACCAGGATATCCGGCCACTGATCTTCTGGCCGCATCTGCCACTGGCAATACATCCACATACGCCTTCGGAAACCTTGGTATCTCAGAGCAGGTTGTCAGAGAAAGTGCCAGCAACACTTCGACCATCATCGGCCGAGCCCCAGGAACTTTCCAGCCCAACAAGGAGGAGAGAACCTTCGCTCTGTACAAGCTGATCACCTTGCAAACACAGGAATGGAACGGCACCCTCCTCGTCTTCTGCGACTGGCTGGGACTTGCAGACTCCAACGAATGGACCGTCGTGGGAGGAACTGGAACATTTAGAATGATGAGAGGATATGCCATCAACACAAAAGCAGCTGGAGGCGCCGGCACTAATTCCATCACATTCAAGTGGGAAGTTTATCTATACTGATGAAGATGTTCTACTGAAGAGGGCATCCATTCTGATTTTCCTCAGTGTTTCTCAACGGCCCGGTGGCCGGCGATTCTGATTCTTTCACTGGCTGGACGGGCTTGTTCTTGGTACCTACACATGCTCATGCTTCCGGCGATAACATTTGAAAGCTTTTAGAAGACAGTAATAAGCCAATTAGTAATCCTCTTTCGAGCTAGACAAAGAGAATAAAGGTCTGTTATTTTTTTGAGAAATGAATTTTGTGCGCAATGATGACACTGCCGTTCAGAGTGTACCACTATAAAATATCGTATTCTGCATTGGCGTACCACATGGATGAAGTTTACTGGATCATGCTGTAAATCCGGCCGCAGATCCAATAATCGAGATTTTGATTGCATGTAATGTGAGTATGATATATCGTTCACTGACAGCACCATACCTTCACTCTGACCTTGCTTATCAACTATATGAACGGTAGTTGTTCAGATGATCAGTCGGTGCCTCTCATTAACATGTTGCATCAACAAGACCATCTTCTGCTCAATCATAGTGAGTGTCTATGCGAGACGACGACAAAGTTAGTTACAATGATATGATCCAACCTCTGCTCTACCATAGGTTCTCAAGCTTTGCCGATGTACAATCGCCACCTGACGCAGGGATTAGATTTGGAGAGAAAATTACTTTCAGTCCCAAGAAGGTCCTGTCTATCAGTACAAAATTAAACTGCCCTTATATAATATCTTCATGTTAAAAGTCCTGTATTCTGATGAAAGTTAGAATTATTTTTATTCGGGATTGAGATATGTACATGAAGTAAGGAAGGATTGCTCCAAAAGAATATGTTGATTTCTTCTTCATAATATTTTATTTACTTTGAAATAATTCCTGTTGCGAACATTGACAAATGTGAAAATTATCAACATTCTTTACTGCTAATGAACATACTATTTATATATAATTAACTTCGAACAATCCCAAATGTGGGTTAATTTTACATTTTTATAACAAGACTAAAATGTAAATTTTGAATGTTCATTATTGAGTCATTCAGATATCAATATATGTAAAGGAGAATAAATACGTTCATTAATTGAACAGAATTGATGATATCGAAAATTAATGTTTCAAAATCAAAAAGATAATCTTTTTGCAATATCGTGACATACTCTTTTGTTGCAATCATCATGTCTGTTTAGCTGATTCATGTATGTTTCTTTCATCCAAGCTAGCATGAACTCAATCTTCTTAGAGGTATGTTACTCTCTCAATCATAAATTATTCAACCATAAAATATTCGAATCTTTAAACAAAGTTCACAGTGATAGAACAGTATTATATATCTTTATATTACCTTATATTATCCTCTCGATGCAACAGCTCTACTCTCCGTGCTGATGTACTCTTCCAGTATCAACCTCCTAGCTTTCATCTTCGACCTAGCCTGAGAGTTCGGCGATCGCAATTCGAGGGGAGCAGCCCGGCGCCAACGTTCTTTTGCTACAGCGGCCTCGTCAACCCTCCTTCTCTTCCTTGGCCGTGATTCTTGTCTGCCTCTGGGCCGCTTTCTTCTCTGCTGAGGCGAATTACGTGGCTCGCCGTCAGAATCCGTGTCGACCTCATTAGCATTCATCACCTCTTCTCCTTCCTGTGCCAAGTTCCGCAACGGAAACTCTCTACTCTCATCGGCAGTCAGCAAATCCATACCTCTATAGAAATTGATAAGAAAATGGGGACAAGTAACACAATGATCCTCCTGGAATCAGCCCGATGTGTTGCCGGGTAGCCGTCCAGAAGATGCGCGCCCAGTGAATTTCCATGAACCCAACCTGCCAAGTCATCATGTAAGTGGTTTGCGCCAGACGAAGAATCTCCATCAACGCCATTGCTACATTTCGTCTGAGTCGATCGTGGTACCAAATGATGCGATAGCCATTCTTCCCGGTGCGGAGATGCTTAAACAGAGTCGCATAAGCCTTTTTCTCCTCTCTTGTAACCCTGACACTTTCACTGTCAAAGGTAAGATCACCATCGTTACCCGCGCAACGTCCGAGGACCTTCTTTCAATCCCAAATTTGCCACGTCTCGGGATTCCTACGATAGCTCGGCGGCTTCGGTAAACCATTGTTATTCCATTCTTGTACTATCGTCTCGCTCGCCCAATTCCAACCCCACAACAGAAAGTACATCTTCGAGAGAATTAAAGCGCGACGATGAGCTCGCACTCCTACTTTGGGAATCTTCAGAGTGTATAGTTTAATTAGAGGCGCCATCGCTGTTTTCTCTCGTTCGAGCCTCAACACCCCAATTTCTCGTCAATTGCATAATGTGTTCGTGAAATGTGAACACCATACTCTCGCCTCCCCGGGTATACCCCGCCGTTGCAACGGTTTCCCATTCGTGTGAATTGAAGGTGCCGCCATTCAAAATTCTTTCCCTTGCGGCACTATCTTTTACGTCCATGGGGATCCTTCGCCGCTTAGGTGTCCGCGAGAACTCCGAGGTCCTCATCCGCGAATACCAAATACCCTCGCCCGAATACCCTACTAGGAATTAGGAGGAGCTAGGTTTTCGTAACTTCTACCTCTCCTTGGGCTTTCCGCTCCGTTTCGTTCGGAGTAGGACCTCGCCGACCTCCAAGACCGACCGCCTCTACTGAAGTTCCTTCAGGTTTACTATTCCTTCTTAACTTCTGGCGTAAAAAGACTTCTAATCTATTTTAATCTAATTACTTCTAACTTAAATGTTAAAAACGACATGGATTTCTCGTCCTAATTACTCTATTTCTGAAAAAACGAAAAAACTACACTACCACAAATATTGTTGAATATATGTTTTATTTTTTTGATAAGTAGTATAAAATAGTTTATCTTATCATGTTGTATGTGTTTTAAAAGCAAATAGTTGTTCAATCATATTTTGAATTGGGACTTTTGTAATACTTTGCATTAATTTAATAGGATTTAAATTTTAATTTTAAATAAAAAACTTGTTTATTTTTTAAAAGAATTTTGATTATTTCAAAAAATCTCAAATCTCAAAATATTAAGAACAAAAATATATAAATGATGTAATACACATGAAAATACAATAGATCATTTGCCAATCAATAAATGATTTAATCTAATAAATATTGATAAGACTCATAACAACATAAATCACAAATTTATCAAAATCAAAAAACATAAAATTATGAAACTTAATAAGTTAAATTTTTAAAAATATATATAATTCATAATATTGAAAGTAATTGAACGTAATTCATAATTGAAAGTAATCATTATGATGACAAAAGATTGATATTAGATAATTTGAATTACATTCATGCAAAATTTATGTGAACTTTACTATAAACATGGTATAATTTTATAACTTGATAACCAAATTTACACATTTTGATGATGGAATTTACTTATTTAAATGAGTTTGCCCGTTTTTTGAAAATTGTATGCCTCAAGGTTTCATGATTCACATAGTATTATTTTAATAAAACGGATTTCACACACAAATTGAAACATCTTGGTATTTTTTTTAAGCAATTATTAAGATATATTCATTTTATTTTTCAAAAAAAATATCATTAATTTATTTTTTGGAATATTTTTGAAGATTTCATCTATTTCTTCAATGTCTTTAGGTAATTTATTTTAGATTTTGATATGTTAAAATATTTTTTAAAAAAAAATAAACATATTTATTTTTAAATTTTTTTTTCATTCTTCATTAAATGTAAATCATATGCCTCAATGATTTAAAATATTCTTAAAATTCATTTTTTATATGGTACTTAAAAATCTTTTACAAAATTATATTTATATTTGTGTCAATGTGTTTAACTAGTTTATCTAAATTTTATTGTGTTCAAATATTTTATAAAAGAATTATACATATTTTTTCAAAAATATTTTATAATTTTGCTTAAAAAATATATTATATGTCCGAAGGTTCACAGTCTAGCAAATAATATTTGAGGAAAATATTCTTTCATATTAAGATAATTAAATTTCTGGCTATATCTTTTGCCAATCATTAGGATTTATTTTTTTTTCAAAAATTAAAATATTTATTTTCAAATTCAAGATAAACCTCAATGTGTAGAATTAATTTTTGATGTGTTAAAATATTCTATATATAAAAGTAATTTAAAATATTTCTCAAAATTATTTATGTGATATATATTATATACTTCAAGGTTTTACGATTCACAAATGTATTCTAGATTTTTTTATTTTTAATTTTTTTAAGTAACATGATTTACTCCTATTGATAAATTTACTTTTCATATCCAATTAATTAATTTTTTTCTATGACTTCAATATTTTTAAAAATCTGGGTATCTTTTGAAATTTATAAATTATAAATTTTATAAATACTTTTAAATTTTTATTTTTTATTTTTATTTATTTTAAATATCTAAAACTAATTTTTTTTAAATTTTTTTAATATGTTCAAGAATTTTTTGAAAAAAATTCTGTATATTTTTTCTAACTTATTTCATTGTTCTGAAATAAATTGCTATTATATACTTTTAACCACGGAGATGGAGCAACCCTGTCGCCTGGGTAACAAATTATAGCTTCGCACTTGTCTTAATTTTAATCTAAAATAAGTAATATTATTGTAAGTGTACTTTTGTCATTGTCGCGCATTGAGTGTACAAATTATACATATATCGATGTCACCTTCACTTGCCTGATCCGCCATTGTCACAAAAAATGCTAGATGAGAAACCCGACCTCGTCTTGGGCGATACCATAGTCTCAGGCCGATCTAGCCAAAATGTTCACATGTTCACATTTTAAAAAAACTTTGTTCAATATTAAGAGATTGTAATGTATATCTTGGAATTTATTTTGGCGATTTTAGATTATGATTAAATTTTTTTAATTATATAATTTATTTTTATTTTCTAAAATATTTATCATAATTCTATATTGATTTTTCAATTTATTCAACTATTACATTTTTTTACAATGTAGGATTTTACAAAAATTCTTTGTAGTTTTCTTATAAAAATTTAATTTTGCTTTCCATATATATTTTGGATCTCACGGTTTCACAGTGTAAGATTTGAATAATATTTCTTTTTCATTAAAAAATAATTAGAATTTTTAATTTTTTACACAGTTTAAAAATTATATGTCTATTTATTTTTTAAAAATTAATTAAAAACAAATATTAAATTTAATTTTAATTTTCCAAAATATTTTTCAGAATTATATTTATTTTTCTAATGTCTTCTTATTTATATTTTGCAAATTTTTCTTAATATTCAAAAAGAATTGCATATAT